TTCTCTCCCCAGAGAAGGACATTGGGAATTCTTGTTGTAAGCTGCCATCGAGTCTACCTCATCTTTTTGTACCTCCTTGTGCAGTAAAAGAATTGGCAACCTCATCTTGCGCTTTCTTCGCGTTCAGTGATGAGTTAGACCACTGTGAGCCCACTCGCAGGGTTTTCACTGCCCAGTTTGTGAAAGCACATAGCCAAGCCTCTCTTCCTACTCTGCCTTAGTCTGGAAGTTCTGCTGGCACCAGATCAGCATTACACAGGCCTCCACAGATGTCCTCTTCCGTTTGACCCTCTCCAGTGTGTTCCTTTGGTCTGGAAGAGGCATAATCCTTCTTTCAACTTCCTCTCCTTTATGCACTTCCTCGTCCCTGGACAAGTCTTAGTGGTGTTTGATGGCCTCTTGAATAGGAGCCCTGAACGTGCCTTAGAGACCTCTCTAGTGAAGTTTCTGATCTCACTGGTGCCTCTTCATCGTTAACTGGCTAGGAGGGTGTACAGAAGGCTTTGAGCTTTGCTGTCACCATGACTCCTTTCCCAGCAATCTCTGCAGACCTATCTTTGAGGAGAACACACAGTACTGTGGTACCACCTCCGCTACCTTGTATTTCATCAGTCTGGATGGCTTGTGCTGCTCTTGGCTGTAGACCTGCAAAAACAAAGCCATGGGAGAAAGCAGCCTGAGTCTTGTAATGAAAACCTTGTACCTTTTGGAGGCCTGGTGGAGAGAAAAGATTTATTTTTGCCCTACCAAATAAAACATTCTAGGAATCAAGGTGAAAATTGGATTTTAACTGCTACTAAAATTCTGAGCATATAAAATCACCAAGTGTTGAGTGTGTTTGCTTGATTAAGGGAAGAAACTAAAAATCCTAGTATCTGGTTGATGAACATGTGATATTGACAGGTGTAAAAAATAAATCAAACACTTTATATAGCTAGAAATAAACAGTAAGCATGTGTTGGCAGCCAACCACAACAGTGGAGCCCTTTGTGTTGTAGCTATTGTTTTGTTCCCAGTGTTGGTCCAGGAGCAGTGTTATTCCCTCTTCTTCCAGCCTTCATCTTTCAGGGTTAAGTCCTCCATGATTAAGCCAGAGGCATCAGGAGCTACTTGACTCGAGGCCAATGTGTTCACCTTTCTTCTCTCAGACTCCCATTTATGTGTTTCTTTACCTCTCTTTTTTCATGTCTCTGTCTTTTGCCTGCCTTCTTCTTGCCTCTTCACTTACTCTACCTGTCTTATCAAAATACCTTCTTGTGTTCAAACTTAGGGCATTGTCTTAGGTGGTTGTTCACTTGTGAGTGTGATGGACTTCCAGCTCTGGGGGTTTCCCATGTTACAGAAGGTGAAGCACTGAACCCAGAGATGTACTTCCAGACTAGACCTCAGCAAGTCAGTATCTTGTGTCTCGGGGCTGGAGCCTGACACCCAAGTGTCCCTGAGTAAATGTGTATAGAATAGGTTGTTATGCAAGACAGGTTCTCTCCATCTGAAGCCATGTTCTGTGTCTGTAGTGACCACCACCCAGGGTTCATGGGAGTGACACTGGGGCCTTATTAACATAGACTAAGGAGCTTTGAGGATGTAGTGTAGTCTGTAGGGAGTAGCATTAACTCAAAGGTAGAGCCTCTCTGGTGGTTTCCCCTCTTGGAGGCTCTGCCGGAGGAAGACGGGCAGTCTCTTCCTGTGTGGTTCATAGCTTCGAAAACCCTCTGCATGGTCAAACAGTGACCCCATTCTGATTTGACAGCATCCAGTTGAGATGAGGGCTTTTATAATGTGTGCATTCTTCAGAATTAGGTGTCCTTAAGTTTCAGCTAAAGAAAGGCATTGTTTTGGTACAACAGAATTGCTTGACTTAAGATGTTTTTAGTATAAGCTTTTATTTCAGGGAGTGTCTTCATGGTCACTGCGTCAGTGTTTTTTGATGAACCTCAACTCTTTTGCAGACCCTCAACTTTTCCAAGCATGATGTCCTTTTCCAAGAACTGGCTCCTCTTGACAACATACCCAAAGTTGTTGTTGTTGTTGTTGTTGTTGTTATGTGCCTTCGGGTCGCTGGCAACTCATAGCGACCCTGTGTACAACAGCCCTAAACTCTGCTCTGTCCTGTGCCAATTGCACTGTCTCTGACTCCCCCATCCCGATTACCCCTGTCAGTAAATCAATCCACTTCATAGAGGGGCTTCTTCTCCTGCGCCATCCCTCCACCCTACCAAGCATGATGTCCTTCTCCAAGGACCAGTCCCTCCTTACAACATGTCCAAAGTATGTTAGACGGAGCCTCAGAATCCTTCTCTCCAAGGAGCCACCTGGTTTAACCCTTTCCAGGATGAATCTGTTTGTTTTCTTAGCTGTCCATGGTACCCTCAATACTCTTCTCCAGCACCACAGCTCAAAGACATCAGTTCTCCTTCTATCCTCCTTGGTCATTGTCCAACTTTCTGATGCATAACAAGTGACAACAAAGACCATAAAGTTTTCCTGTTCTTATCTCTAAGGAGGAACCTCATTGTACTTCCTTCAAGATACTTCTGTTTGTTCTTTTGGTGGTCTGTGGATACCCAGCACTCTTCTCCAACACCACATCTCAAAGGCTTCTGTCATCAGAAGAAGCAACTGAAAATACCTCAGGAAAAGAGAGGTCTGGAAAAAAGGAAGAAGTGTTCTAGGGAGAGGAAACAGCTTTTGGAGAGACAAATTTCATTCAGAAAAGAAAGAGTTTTTCATTTTAACCAGGAAGACAGATTTAGGCAGTTGAGGTGGCTGAAGAGAAAGTTGTAAAGATTTTCCAACAGGAATAAAAATGCTTGTTTAGTAATCAAAAGTTTAAAGGTTTGAGTCCACCCAGAAGTATCCGAGAAGAAAGACCTGGTGATCGGTTTCTGTAAAATCAGCCATTGAAAAACCTGTGGACCAGTTATGCTTTCACGTATATAAAGTTACCATGAGTTCCAATAGACTTGATGGCAGCTAGGTAAGGGATTTGAAATTTTCAAATAGTGTAGAGTCACTGAATGTTTTTAATCAATCATATGATCAGATTTGTCATTGGAAAGTTCTGGATGTCATTTAAAAGATATTGTAGAGCTGGAGGTAGAGAAAAGTAGACCTCTTAGAAGTTTTACATCTCCCCATGAGACAGCAATGTGTTCCTGGGCTTTGCTGGGACAGAGTGATGCAGTTTGGTGGACCATGCTGCTTACTGGCCTTTGCATTTGCACGTAGAAAAGGAATGTTGTTCTAGGGCCTTCCTCACCCACTGAATTGATGGAACTTTGTAGTTGTTGTTATGTGCCATTGAGTCAACTACAACTCATAGCAGCTCTATGATCAATAACTCTGAACCTTTTCCTATCTGAGCCAACCTCATATTCTCAGACATGCCTAACTGTGTTGCCACATTCACTTTGTAAGTCTAACATACTCCGAGTCTTCCTCTTCTGTACTGACCCTTTATCCTTCAAACATGATGTCTTTCTCCAAGGACTGGTCCCTCCTGGTGGCATGCCCAAAGTATGAGAAACAGAGCTTCAAAATCCTTGCCTCCAAGGAGCAAACTGGTTTTATCCTCACCAGGACAGACTTATTTATTCTCTTGGCAGTCCATGGTACGTTCAGTACTCTTCTCCAGCATCACAGCTCAAAAGCACCTGTTTTCCTTCTGTCATTTTTAGTCATTGCCCTACTCACTGATGAATAGCAAGCAATCAAGAAGACCATGGCCTGGATCAGGCACTTCTTAGTCTCTAGTGTGACACAGTTGCTCTTTAGTAACTTGGAGAGATCATTGACAACAGATTTTCCCAGTGCAAGTCATCTTTTGATTTCCTGACTGACAAGAATGTTGATTGTGGATCCAAGCAAGATGAATTTCAGTTCTCTCCTCTTCTAAATTATTCTGTTGCTGTGCTTGTATCAGTAACTGTATGCTAGTATTTGACAACTAGAGTTTCTCTAGTGCTTCGAGTCCTACTATGTGCACCTAAAATGGACTTGGTGAAATCTGCCAGCACTTCCCAACCTTGGGTGATGTTCCTGGACTGGACTGCTTGGTTACTTGGGAGCCTGTGTTGTCTGCTAGATCTGATCTGGTTGGGGCCAGCTTTCCGTGTGGTGTCCTCCCATCCTGTCCCTCTTCTGGCACCAGTACCAGGTGCAGTTAAGTTGCATAGGGATCATACATGCTGCAGAGAACTACTGCACAGGGTTTTTACATTTGTGGCCTTTCCACACCAGATAATCAAGTCTTCCTCCTTTGTGTGGGTTGAACAACCAGGCAGAAGTTACCAGCAAGCACTTCAGTGTTTGTGCAACTCGGGGACTCAGATCTCTGCTTAGGCTTTTGTATTACAGCTATATTGCCAGAAGCATCTTGCACAGGGCCCTGTTCCACATCTTCTAGTTTTGTGCATACATCACACCCTTCGAACTCCACACAGAGAAAATGAAATGGACAGAAGAAACTAAAACTTAAAAGTTTGCACTGATCTTTTCAATTTCCAGATACTTAGTTCCTGGAGAAGGATGTCCTGTTCGGTAAAGTGATAAAAAGTAAGCTGACCTGACACAGTGACAGCAACAGTGAGCTTAACTGAGTGCAGCAGAGTTTGTAACGATGGAGCTGGAGAGAGCAGAAGTTTGTTCAATTCTCCGTGGCTTTGCTATGAATCCGAGTCAACTCTAAGGCACTTAGCAACAAAAAAACATTAAGATTAAAATGGCATTGGAAAATTGAAGTTTCCAAAGTGCTCCGAGCAGTGACAGATATCCACTGGATTCTGAAAATGCCAAAGAGCTCTTGTTTGAAAATATGCTTGTTCATTTTAGTGCCGTAGAAATTCTGTTCTGGTGTTTTGTTTCAGAGATTTATAGCTCCCTCCCAATTGTATTGATAACAAGGGAACTGTTTTATAACGTGACTGTGAAGCACAGCAGTGCTCTAGAGAAGAATGTCTAGCTCTCCATTAACCCTCAGATTTCACACCTAATCATTGCAGTGTGGCAAACCGCTCCCTGGCCTTTCAAAGCAAGAGGACTGCTGTGGGACTGTGGGCACCTCCTGGGGCTTTAACAAATGCCAGAAATGCCCCAAGAAGCCAGGTAAGTGGCATACCAATGCACCTTTACAGGTTAATGTCAAATATGTATTATAACAGATGTTTTATTGAAGAGGCAACATTAGATTTTCAGAGTACTCCAATCAGATTCTAGAAGGTAGTCTTAAAATTGTCATTTTTAGAAATCTTGCCAGTCTGAGGACATTTTCATATTTATTGTATTTTCTGTTGGTTTTCAATAAGAAATGCTATCCCATGCCTTCTCCAGTTGAATTCCTTAAAAAATGAAAAGTTTTTAAAAGTTGATAAACTAAAATAGCTTTTCTTTTTTTTACTGAGGTGAAGAAAAAAGGAGATTTCATTTAAAATAAGAAATGCCTGAAATGGTTTTTATTTGTATTCACAATTTATATTATAGTTCATGTTGTTATAAAATAGAATGAGAAAAATTTTAATTTCTAGGACACACTTCAATACCACAACTTAAATGCATCAGTCCCTCTTCTGGTGTGGTGCTGGAGAAAAGCACAGAACATACTATAGACGGCCAAAAGAACAAACAAATATGTCCCAGAGAGGGTGCAGCCAAGTGCTCTGTGAGGCAAGAATGATGAGGCTTTGTCTCACATCCTTCGGACATGTTACTAGGAGGGGCTATTCCTAGGAGAGGGAGAGGAGGGACATGATGCTAGGGATTGTGGAGGGTCCGGAAAGAGAGGAAGACCCTTGACCAGGTGTATTGACATACTGCTGCAATGAGCTCTAATGTGTCAGGAAGTGTGAAGATGGCTCTGGATAGGACAGGGTTCAGATCTTTTGTTGATAGGGTTGTTATGAGTGGTACTCTACTTGGTGGTACTTAAAAACAACAGGATGCACTACTTTCCCCTTATCTTATTCGTCATTATTTCAGCATAGTCTTCAGTGGCCTACTGCAAATATGCATACCCACTTACTTTGATTGGGAGCTCTGGTGTTGTAGTCCCTCAGAAGTTAGGATACCAACCCAAAGGCCGCCCTTTTCTAGTAGTTCAAATCTACCATTATCTTGTTGGATAAAGGATGCGCCATCTCCTCCCATACAATTACAGCCTCAGAAACCTGCTGGGAAGTCAGCGAGGAGTCGGTTCAGACACTGCAATAATTCTGAGGCTTTTAAAAGTGTTTTCATTAGTTTAGAAAGGCTGTTTTCACACTCTCTTTGGTTAGTTAAATTTGGGGTTGCATTTTTTTCCATTATTTTTCCAAATTAGGGTTTGTCTTTTTAGTTTTAAAAATGTAACATTAACTCTGAAACACTAATTTGTAATAATTTTTTTTTTTTCAGAAAGATAATGCTAACTTGTTTTTAGCTTTATCATGCTGATTCTATGTTTTGGGAGTACACCAAGTGAGATTTTTTTCTCAGTAAGCTTCCTTTGTCTTTTCTTACTGAAATACTTCATGCATTAAGGCCTTTCTCATATGCTTCACTTGGGTGCTTTTATGTACTCTTCCTAAAGAAATGGTGATTTCTACTTTTATATTCTTCACTGCCTTTAAAATCAGTGTGTTCAGTTTAAAAGTTGCCAACTTGGAGTCACCATTGCATTTTCTTTTCTTAAATACTATTCTGCCTTCTACCTCCAGTATTGTTGTTGTTGCTGTTTACCATTGGGTCAGAACCAGCTCACAGCTGACCCTTCAGCAGGTCTTCAGAGGCTGTAAGCCACATGGAACAAGATTTCCCATCTTTTTTCACAGAGCAGACGTGAGGTTAGAACAGCATGCCTTTGGGTTGGCAGTCTAACTCCATAGCACTAAGCCACCAGAGCTCCCCAACTCCATAAATAGTTTCAAATAATTATCTCAATTTATTATTTTTCTAGATTGTTTGCTACCAGCTTATTTGATTCAATTTGTTGATGTTTCCTATGTCTTAGAGGACTGGTTTGTGCAAATGCCTACTTACCAGTATTTCTGCTAATTCCTCATTTTGATAAAACAGCACATAAAATAGAGTGTTCAGTATGAAGACTATGTCCATGATGTACTTTTAAAAGCTGTTATGGTAATGATTTGCAGTGTGATTTTTCTAGCAAGTGGACTGGGAGAATAGTTTGCCCAAAATTATTTTGGCAACCTCTCTAGAAGCATACCTAGGGAATGGTTGGCATCATTTAAAAATGACTTGGAGTTTGGAATTTGGTAGACCTGAGTTTGACTCCGAGTCATTTACTCTTTTGGTCAGACTTGGAGATTAAACAAACAGCAAGCTGTCTGTCTATGTCTCTCTGTATTTTAATTTTTAAACTTTATTTCCTTTCTTATTCACTTTCTCTGCACCGCTTGCCTTGCATGCTTGTATGTAGGAGAAGTATATGGAAGGTGGTATAGTTCCCACATTTCAGTTAAAAGATTGAGGGCGAGAGAAGAAAGGTTGTTACAACTTTGTTTTGAACTAAGTTGATGTTCTTAATACTTTTTCCATCTTCTCTTTTCTTTTCCTTTTCATATCCCCTAGTAATTTTCCCCCCTTCTTTAGTCCAAATCTCAAAAGCAACAGGAATGATAGAAAGCAGGAGTCAAGAGAACTATAAAGCTCTTTTTTTTTAAAAAAAATAAAAATTTTCTATACTATTATTCACTTCTATACAATTGTTCACATGCATAGTTTTATTCATGTACATTTTGTTTAAGACAATCATTTCTGTACCTTGTCTTTTGTATAATGTATTATTACTGATCTTTTATTTCTCCATCTCCTCAAGACCATTGCACCTTACGTATTTCTTTGCTTCCCCATCCACCTCCTAATTTGCTGTGATTTCCTCTTCATTCTTGTACCCCCTTCTCCTCTTTCCCTTTTTAGCAGGTATATCTATCTTGTTCTGTTGCCTATGCAGTAGCCATATTGTCTATCTCTATTCTTCCCAGGTTGATGTGCTATTGTCTTGGTAACCTTGTCATGTTTGTTGTCTACCCATTACATTTCTGTTCTTCTCCCCACCCCAACCCTCACTTACCTTCCTATGATCACAGCAACAATCTTATGGAATATTTGTCATTTAGTGACTGAGTTAATTTCACTCAACATAATTCTCTCTAGACTCTCCCATGTTGTTTTGTACTTTATAAATCCTTCTTTGTTCTTTAGTGCTGCATAGTATTTCATTGTGCGAATATACTACAGTTTTTCTATCCATTTGTTTATTCATCAGCATTAGAGCATTTCCCATTTTCTTGCTATTCTGAATAATGCTGTTATGAACATAGGTGAACATATCTCTGTTTTTCTCAGCTCTGATTTCCTTGGAGTATATTTCCAGGAGTGGAATAGCTGCGTCATACAGGATTTTTAGGTTCAGATTACTGAGGAAATGCTTAACCGCCTTCCTCAGCGGTTAGAAGGCATAGTTGGTACAATTTTACAGTCCCAACAGCAGTGTATGAGAGTTCCAATATCTTCATATCCTCTCCAGCTTTTTTTTTTGCTGTACTATTTGCTGTACTCACTTTGCTACTGCTAAGTGAGAGTTCTCATTTTTTTAATTTGTTTTTTTTTTCCTTTCTACAAGTTTATTTACAAATTTCTAATACATTGTTTTCAAGAACAGATTCTTCCAATTTCCCTCACTCCTCCATCCATCAAATTGTACAGCCCCATGATTAAACCCCCACCCTCCCTGCACATCCTCATCTCTCTGTTTCCACCCTCTCCCAGCCCTCTTGGATCCTTATGCTCCTTCTACAATAATGGTCTTATACAATGTTTATCCTTATGGGACTGAGTTAGTTCACTCACCGTAATGCTCTCCAGTCCTCCCAAGTTAGGTCATAATTTACAAAATCATTGCTCCTGCATGCTGAATAGTATTCCATTGTGTGAATGTACCATAATTTCTCAATCCATTTGTTTGTGGTTGGACATTTAGGCTGTTTCCATGTTCTTGTGGTGGTGAATAATGCTGCCATGAACAGATATCTCAATTTTGTGTGGTTTTTAACACTTCTTCATGTATATGTTGATCATTCAAATGTCCACTGAAGATTCTTTTCATGTCATTTGCCTATTTTGTTATTGGGTTATTATATTGTGGCGATGGTGGTGGTGGTATTGTTAGATGCTGTCAAGCCAAGTACGAGTTACAGCAATCCTGTGAACAACAGATCTGAACCCTGTCTTATCTTGTACCATCCTCATCATCTCTGGCACACTTGAGCCTATTGCTACAGTCATTGTGTCAGTCCATCTCATTGAGAGTTTTCTCTTTAGCTGACCTTCCATCTTTCCTACTGTGATGTCCCTTTCCAAGGAATAGCCTTTACTAACAATGTGCCCAAAGTATATGAGATAAAGCTTCGCCATCCTTGCTTCCAAGAGTGTTTTGGCTACACTTTTCCCGTGACATACTTTTTTGTGCTTTGGGCAGTTCATGGGATAGTCAGTACTGTTCTCGAGCACAATTCGCAGTAGTTCTTTTTCTGCCATCCTTATTCATTGTCCAGCTCTTAGAGACATAACAAGTAATTGGAGAGATCATGACTTGAATCAGGTGCACCTTAGTCTTCCAACAAACATCAAATCTCATCAGTAATTTAGAGTTCCTTGACAGCAGACTTACTTATTGCAGAACATCTGCTTTCCTGACAGCTGATACCAAGTGTATGGATTGTCAATCCAAATAAGATGAAATAGTTGACAATCTAAATCTTTTCTCCATCATGATGTTGATTATTATCTCAGTGTGAAGGTTTTTGTTTCCTTGATGTTGAGATGCAATCCATATTGAAGACTGCAGTCTTTGATCCTCTGCAGAAAGTGTTTCAAGAGTCTCCTCATTTTTAACAAGCAAGGTTGTATCACCTGCATACTGAAGGTTATTGATGAGTGTCCCTCTGATCCTGATGCCACAATCTTCTTCATAGGTTCTCTAATGATTTACTCAGCGTATACATTGAATAGGTATGGAGAAAGGATACAACTGTAATATACTCCTTTCTTGATTTTTAATCTATAGTGTTTCCTTGCTCTGTTTTGACAACAGCTTCTGGTCTACATAT